TAACGTGAATTATCGTTCTCTTATGGAACAGGGTACTCATGAATATGTGGGATGCGGTAGCACTAGACATATGCAGTCTTAACTCTATTCTCGTTGGCTCTACAACTAAATTAAATCCAACTTAGATTATCTTGTTTCTGTTTTTCTACTAGGATGGTACTGTATACAAACTTACGTATGCTCAAAATAAAGTGGATCTCTTAGTAAACTTACATTCAGGAATTAGACTATGCTTTATGCCATGTAAAAAGAAAGTAGCCGTATTTTGAAGGATGCTTTTCTTCAGATTTATATTTGTCCAGCATTCGAGGAACCCCTTGAATGCTGGACAGATGCCCATCAGATGGGTACAGTACATGTCAACCCGAAGGAAAAATTGGCTTTGCTGCCGGCTGCCCACCGGGCATAATGTGTTATAATACTGGGTATCAGTTTCTTGATTATGTGGGTGAATATGCCAAATTGATTCAAAAAGAATTTCGAAGCAGTATTGCCAATAAAATATCCCATCAGTGTATGTAACGCAAAGATGCAATATCTGCAACTAAGCTCATTCTGTATCAATTGTTCCTTTAGTTCCAGAGGTGACCCCAACTCCAACTCAACCTCAGAAGGTAAGGCTTACATCTATTAGGGTTATATATCTTTTCTGCGATTAAAATTTTATCTGCTTGAGAAAGTGTGATTTATGTCATTAACATTGAGTTGGTTAAGTCCATTTCTAATTTGAATGAATTTTATTGAACGGGGTAATTCGGTAATGATTCGCTCTGACGAAGGGCTTATGCTCGAAACGTCAGCTTTTTTAACTCTTTACAGTGGCCAATTTACAATTTCAACTTAGTCGATAAAAACAAATTACCTTGTTACTCTCACCGACGCGCCACAATTTCTTTAGAAACTTACGCTCTTTAATATATTGAATGATGATTCGCTCCTATGGTTGAAGGGGCTACTTATTCTGAAGATTAGCCCACCAGGGATCAACGTTGTCAGGTTTTATTTGCACTAGAGTGAGACACGGCTCGTTACATCCGTGGTTACGTCGTAGTCAACTGAAAATTAAATATTTTCGGGATACATTATTATCTACAATATTCTTAGTCGAAATGATAAACGGTTTCGTAACTTACAATTTGTGTTTCTGACTAGAGGCATACAAAATATTCTTTCCATCAGTGTATGTAACGTAAAGGTGCAATTTATGCAACTAAGCTCATTTTGTATCAATTGGTCCCTTAGTTCCAGAGGTGACCCCAACTCCAACTCAACCTCAGAAGGTAAGGCTTACATCTATTAGGGTTAGATATCTTTTCTGTAATTAAAATTTTATATGCATGAGAAAGTGTGATTTATGTCATTAACATAGACCACTTTCATAAATGGCTGCCGGATTACTATTCTTTTGTTTAATTTAAATTGGCCTTTCTGGCCTCGCTTGAGATAAAGTATTCTTTTGAATTTTGTACTGGAGAACGAGGCCAGAAAGGCTAATTTAAATTCAAACAAAAGAATATTAATCCGGCATCCATTTATGAAAGTGGTCTATTGTGTTGGTTAAGTCCATTTCTAATTTGAATGAATTTTATTGAACGGGGTAATTCGGTAATGATTCGCTCCGACGAAGGGCTTATGCTCGAAACGTCAGCTTTTTAACTCTTTACGGTGGCCAATTAACAATCTCAACTTAGTTGATAAAAAAAATTACCTTGTTACTCCCACCGACGCGCCACAGCTTCTTTAGAAACTTACCCCCTTTAATATATTGAATGAGGTTGGTTCATAAAAGATATCCTGCTTTGATACGGGAGCCCGTCTGCGAAAAACTCCCTAATGCTTTTCAGAACCTAAAAAGGCAACTGGACGAGATTCAAAAGGAGCTGAAGAATTTGCCGAAGGTGTCGCGGAGGGCCTAGCGACCACTCCACGAGAATTAGCGACCGCTCCTCTCAGGCCATGTGCGAGAAGAAGTAGGATTTTTTCCTCCGTGTAAATCGTTGTGTTCAGTTGAGAATAAAGAAAAAATCGCGTTCGCGACAGAAGGAGGATGTGGACAGAGGAAAGGGTAAAGTAAAGTTTGAACATACCATTGACGCAGAGTATAGAAATGAAATAAAAAAAGAAAAAGAAAAGCATTTATTGTAGGATTTTTATGAGTTCTGAAAAGCTGCAAATGTGAACACCGGGCTCGTCGATAAGACTGGGTTTTTACTCATAACTTCGGTTTGATTCTAGTATCGGTAAATTAAATAAAAAGAGAATCTTCTGTGTACACCTTACTCAACAGAACAGGTAAAACAGGTGAACATTTTGCGAGATACGTAATGATTAAAAATCTTCATTTCCATCATATGTTAGACGAGCGAATAAGACTCAGATTTATCATTCCAATATAACTTCATATCTGAACTCATACAGCGACACAAGGCTCGCGCGGAAGACGAAAGCAAATCTTTTAAAGGTCAAGCATATAGAGAGTAATTGAAGTCACAGTTTATATTGCTTAGCGCGGCCATTTTACCTGTATTGAGTAATTGGTCGGGTTTTTTTTTTTATATTCTCTGTCTTTTTGGCTTTGAATTTTTCAGATTCATCCCTTCCTAAAAACTGTGCCGAGCTCAAAAAATCTGGTGAAACAATAAGCGGTGTTTATACAATCGACCCTGGTGGTTCAGTAGGCAACAGGACACAATTAGATATCAATGTAATATGGCAGGAATTCTAGAAGAACCGAACCTGAAGGAGACAGAGAAAGACCCAATTATGGGCATCGGGATTAAAAAAACAGAGATGCATTACAACATATTGCCAGATATATATTTCTTTCTATTCATGGGGATCTTCTTTGTTTTTTTTTTGTTTTTTTGTTTGTTTTATAACCCCTTAAAGCATGGAAACTCAGTAGGTTGTCGTTTTGTTGCTTTTTATTCAATCAATAAACGATATGGATGAATCGATTTTGCACGTGAAGCTGATTTATATGAGATTTGTGTGTAAATCAATGAATGAGTCGACAAAGAAATATAGATAAATGCTTTGATATCAACAGGAACTGCCAACGCCTTATGATATTTCTTGAGTACAATGATAGCGATCGTCTTTATCACAATCACTGTGATATTTTATTGAATTAAATAAATAAATAAATAATATCACAGGGATTGTGATAATGACACCAGCGAGCTAGCTATGAGGTTTACAGGTACAGAAAAATTACGAATCCTGCAGTTCAGTTCAACGGTCAATTTCTCTTCGGACGACACTCATTAAACGCGAATGGTGTAAACTGGTGGTTTCACTGGAGAGGCCAATCTACTCAAGGATCTGGATAAAAACTAGAATCAGACTGGCAAAATTTAGGCCTTCATAGATCCACATTGTCGATTAAAGGTGCACCTTGATACAAAGCTCATTCATGAACCAGGCTGATAACGCCTCAGCCAGGATAACAATTGTAACGAATGTATAGCAATGATTTAGCCCGTATATCGATCCCTCTAAAAAAATAATTCGACTTGTGCGTGTGGTTTTTAAATCTAAATATTCATGATTTCGTTTTCTGAGAGTACTTTTGCACAAACGTTTCTGTAGGTTTATTCATAACAAGAGGGAAGGAAGGATATGCCTGAGAGAGAACCTCTCTGCAATGCTGTGATAAATGATTAAAACGACTATAAAATTCTCTGAAAGACAATTAATATTTCGTGTCATCTCTTAGCTAAGAACCATCGTTATGGTGTAACACGTTAACTAATACGATAAGTGAGTTTGAAATTTAATTTTGTCTAAACAAGCATAAGGGTATATTCTGTTAAAAATCTGCATGTGACTTCGGTGTTGATAGTTGTTTGACCAGCTTATCGAGAATGAAAGACGTGGACGAGTCGAGAGAGGACAGACCAGAACAGCGAGATCAAACTTGGAAATTTTTCTTGCTGGAACCACCGTATACCCCAATTGCGATTTCTTCTCGAGGATCCATAAGAAAACTGGTTTCGGTTGGACATTTTGCACGCAAAGGATTAGGAGGCTTTTTGTCAAAGGTTATCGTTGCTGAAATGAGTTTTTCATGCGTGAGACCTGACAAGAAAGCTTAACTTTAGCTCTGTTTGTCCTCAGGTCCTGACCAAACAACTGTCGCTAGGCGAGTTTTTGCTCTCTTTCATATGGAAACTTTGCAATGCGTGAGTGGTTTGAAAGACTAATATTTACCCTAGCAGTAAAGCTGCTCAAAAGCTATTGGATCAACTTGATAGCTTATCATTTTCTTCTAGTTCATGCATCAAGCAAACTAGAAGAAATGAATTCCTGGTGGCTTATTTTATTATTTTCTGCGCTTAAAGCCGAGGCGGTGTTGCATCGACCCGAAGGTATCGTAAAGATATTAATTGGCACAAAGGCAGACATAATGATCTTGCTTTATTAATGAAAGATTACCAGACAATAATGTGTATTAAAAAAAAAATTTCAGGCTAGTATTAGTGGAATGAGAACCGGAAAGACGAAGTTTAGAGCTTGTTAAAATGAAATAGTAACAAGTGGATCGCTGTAAATGAAGATATGCAAGCTGACAAAGGAGACACCTCATTCCGAGGCATAATCGAAGGCCTTCTCGTTCCAGATTCCAATTTAACGTGTCGCAAAAATAATGTTTCAGTAACCCTTCGTTTTATATCGAATCTCTTATTCGTTTTCTAGTAACATTGAATCATCTGAAAGTTCGTCTCAGCCGAGAAAACATGACGATTGTAAGAGAAGATAAATAGAAACGATCGAACTATTCAAAATAGAAATTTAGCCATAAAGAGCGTTCTTTTTGTTGAGATACATGTTATCGATGAAAAATCGCTTTGTTACAGAAAATATTGGTGTGAAAGACAAACGTTTGTTTGAGGGTGACATGATCCTCACAGACGCTCAAAGGATGGCTGCCGCTCTCGGAGAGGATGTCAGCAAAGCAGGGCTGGGGCGTGCGTCTATCAGAAAGAATCTATGGCCTGGGGGAGTTCTTGTGTATGAGTTGGATCCTGCAATAGGTAGGTAGTGACGCCTTACTAATATGATTTTCAATGTTACAAAAATTAGTTTATTGACGTGATGTAGACCTAAGGAAACTAAGAGCATCTACTTAACACCCGGAGTTTAACATGGCACTAGTTTTAACAACTGCACATAAAATAATCATAACTTTGAATAGGCGGGGACTCAAGTGACGTACTCAATGACTCCAGTTTCTATTACTGTAATTCATCTCGTGTTCTATATTCTGAAAAGGTCCATCCAGAGGATGCACAAAAGCTTAAAAAGCCGCGGAAAAACAAAACAAAACACACATACAAGCAAAAAACAGGGAAATAAAATTTAAAAGCTGTGTCTTTAATAAAGCGTTTTGGGAGATAAGGTAACCATAGACAGGCTGGTCTTCAAAGAGCTTGGGCTCAAGTCTCAGCTAGTGTCTGTGCTGAGTTTCTTGGCAACGCACTCCTCTCTCGATGCACGAGTGCATGAGCACTGGTTAACTGGAAGAAAACCTGATACAAGGTTGGTGGGTGATTGGCCAAGTGTCCCAGCGGATGGGAATAACAATTTCTGTATGGAACTTGACTGTAGAGCAGGCGTCTTATTCGCGAGTTAATGTTAAGAATCTCGTGATCACTTATTCGACCGGCCATGATTGAATTGGAGGTAGAGTAGACAGTAGATGTAGAGGGGCAGGGAAAGGCAAACAGACGCCTGATAAACACTTACATGAGAGATTCTTGTAGTCTGTGTATAGCCACTTTCTGCCTTAAAAAAACAAACAAACAAACAAACAAAACAAAAAAAAGAACAAAAACAAAAACAAAAAAACCCGACTAAGCATTCTTGGGAGTGAAATCGAAGTTGATAATCAGGTCACCTTTGTCAGAGTTCACCAACTTTTATTTTTCCCGCAATAGTGGTATGAAGCAGTTTGGTTAGTGATTGACAGGTAGAGCTGAACTCTACCAATCAAAAACTCCGTTCATGGGCGAATGGAGTTTCCCAAAACAACAATGACCTCGGGTAGGCGTAGCGTTCATCGCTCCACCCACTCCCCCTCTCCTCCTTTCTGATCATCACTCACCGCCTTGGAGAAAATTTCTTTCTCTCCCCAGCCATCCGCTGCTGCTGCAAAAAAATCAAAGATGGCAGCAATAATTTTCACCACGATAATACTGAGCACTGGCCCGCAAAAGTTACATCTGATCTGCAGGCTAGTTTGGGACATCAGTGAAAGTTTCGTCAGCATGGCTTACTTAATTTGTGCAGCCTTTTTGGCCAAATAAAGTACAGAACTGATGTTTGATTTAATGTATTTACAGAGGGAAGTTCTAAAGCTATGGCAGCAATAAATGCTGCCATGAGGTTATGGCGTACCAAGACTTGTGTGCAGTTTAACAAAAAGACGACAGAACATGCATATGCCTATTTTCACATCGGTCGAGGGTGAGAGAAAGGGCTAATTTTCCATGAATCTATGCGAACCTTACTAAGATTTTCTCCCAGTAGGCTCTATGAGCCATACAGCATCATCATCTGCGTGAGTCATCAGATGATTAGGTTTTCAGTTCAATTTGTTTCATTTAACATGATATTTTACTAGAACTTCGAGCAGAACCGCAGTGGAAATGGCCATCAAAATATAGGAAAGGTTTTTTTAGTTCATCCATCTCCAATACCTTTTTACAAGATAGAGCAGATTCATCTAGAATTAAAGACCTAAGCTAGCGATTAGGTTTCCAAGCTTTTATGTTTAAAAATCGGCTTTATCCACTGAAGACGGGCATGATTTAGTTTGGTGAGGCAAGTTTCACAATCTTCTCTAACCATTTCTTGCCTTTGGGCGTAATTATTTCCCTCAGATGTACCTCATACGTGGGACGAACAGGGAGAAGACAGATGATATCACTCGCCAGAGGATGCTGGTACACACATACTGTGGCTCACGAGATCGGTACGCTGAAAATGTCAACTCAAACCTCTTTTGTAGAAAGAAGGTTAACATGTTGATCTTCTGTATAAGGTTATCCTGCTCGGTGTTTCAAAAGAAAAACCAGTGGTCAAAACTTCACATGACTCCTCAATGACTTTATGTTATCCTTAGCAAAACCGAAATATATCCAGGAGTGTGCAGTTTGTCCTGAAATTGATAAAATCTATTTTGTCATTTTTTCCCCCATTTTTTCGTTTTGCAGGTCATGCACTAGGATTCTATCACGAACAGTCCCGCCCTGATCGCGACGATTTCGTCACAATTTATTGGCAAAACATACAAAGTGGAAAGTATCATTTTTTTATCATTATTATTGTCTAACTCAATACAACAGTCGTCTTACTGTATATAATCTTTTGGAGATAAATTGGTTACAAAGGATAACCTTTTTCTTTGTATACATTTCTTTTCTTAGGGCTTGCTTATGCCTTTAATAAGTATCCCCGCTCCACGATTGATTCCTTGGGGACCCCATACGATTATAGGAGTGTGATGCATTATGAAAGCTACGCGTTCAGTAAAAACAGGAGACCAACCATTGTGGCCAAAAAACAAGGAGTAAGGAGGATTCAAGTGATATTTATTCTTCCTATGAGGCTATGTCTTGGCAATGATTTTGCTTCGATAACTAACTGGAACTGTTGTCTCGTCTGTCTGTAGGTTACTTTAAGTAACAGGAATGGTCCAACAGAAATAGATATAAAACAGATGAACCTTCTGTACAAATGCAGTGGTGGAGGCGGTGGCGGTGGTAATGGAAGCGGCGGCGGCGGCGG